CCAAGAATGGTGGGAATGTGAACTGGTGCAGCCACTATGGAAAATGGGATGGAGGCTCCTCGAAAAGTCAAACATAGAACTACCATTATGATCCAGCAATTCCACTTCTGGTACTTACCCGAAAGAAATGAAAATGCTAATTTGAAAAGATATCTGTACCCCTATGTTCACTGCAGCATCATTTACAACAGCTGAGCCATGGAAACAACCCACGTGTTCATCAATGGATGAATGGATAAAGCAAATATGGTATATATGTATGCAAGGGAAAGTTATTCAGCCACAAAAAAGAAGGCAATCTTGCCATCTACGACAACATGGATGGACCTTGAGGGCATTACACTAAGTGAAATAAGTCAGACAAATACTGCATGAGCTCATTGATATGTAGAATCCAGCTCCTCCTCCCCCAATCCCCATGAAGTTGTAGATACAAAGAACAGACTGGTGGTTGCCAGAGGCAGAGGGTGGGTGAAAGGGGGGTCAAAAGGTACAAAATTCCAGTTATAAAATAAATAAGTCATGGGGATGTAATGTACAATATGGTGACTACAGTTAATAACACTGTATAGTATATTTTAAAGTTGTTAAGAAAGTAGATCTTAAAAGTTCTCATCACAAAAAATTGTACCTATGTGTGTTGATGGATGGTTTTACAGTATATATACATATTGAACCATTATGTTATAGACCTGAAACTAATATGTTACCTGTCAATTATATCTCAGTTTAAAATTTTTAAGGAATTAAAGACAGACAGCTTTAACTACAGAAAAGCCTACAGATTCCTGTTTGAATTTGAGTAAAACATTGCTAGACATATCACAAGAAATGTAGTGGTTACTGCTGGGAAGTGAGACTGTCCACCTCTACTGTTGAACTCCTTTTCTTCCATATGCTTCTATTATTTCTAAAACGTTTTTACACACTAGTTTCAAAATAGAGAGCACCTGATTTTAATCCTCTGGCTGTGTCATCCATGACAATTACTCAACCTCTCTGAGCTTGTTTCACCATCCATAAAATGGGGTTACTATTGACCTCATAAAGCTAAGATGAGCACGAACTCAGATAGCAGGCATTAAGCAAGTAACACAGTGCACAAAATAGGCACTTAATAATTGTCACACCCCCCCCTTACTGGCAAGAAACCTTGGAAATCCTCTTAATTCAACTTCCACTTCTCATTGGTAAGAACACTAAAAGCCAAAAAGGTCAACTGTGCAGTAACCAGGAGAGCCAGGTTCTGATGCCTGGGTTCTCGTATCCTAAAATAAAAACTGATTTCTTATGAGCCAAGGAATGACTTGTTCCTGTCTTTCGGCCACACCTCACCTTGCAGGACCAACCTCCTCTCCTGCCTCACCCGCCAGACTTGATGAGTCTTCATTTTTCCTAAACACCAAATCCACCATCAGCTGAGGGGGGGTCCTGCATAGGAAGGCAGCCCCAGGGGGGAGCTCCAAGAATGTCTTGATCAAAGGCAGCACTAACCTCACAAGGGGGCAGTAAGAATTTGGATGTGGATGTGTTTTAGGAATTTGAACAAAATTTGTTGACCAAGAAATTCTATGCAGGAACAAAGTTTAACAAATGCCTGGTTTTAGCAGTACAGACAGCTGTTTAAACAAGAGGTTACCTTTTCAGTGATTGTTGTACATAAGCTGTTTGGGACACAGCGTCCTGATTAAAATGGAATGACTTTCAAAACGCTTTGGGATTTGGTGGTGGCTAGCCATTTCTTTGTTTGTTTGGATGATTTCCTTAGAAAGAAAGCTTTCTGATTGTTGGGGTTTAGGTTACAGTGCGTTTAACTCCTTTCCTAATTTCACGCAGAGGGTCCATCTATCTTGTTAAGAACAAAGGCCAAGGTGTCTTAAATGCCTACAGGAATGAAATTTTTGTCCACAGTCACTATAATGATATATCCACAATGCCTAACTCAATGCATGGTCCCTGGAGATCCAGGCCCTTCCCTTCCCTGGAGTAGAGGTGTAACAGACTTTTGGAAACTCATCAGTTGGTCAGTTACATTATCTTTCTAGGAACCAGGAATACAAGCATTTCATTAAATCCACTGGTTGGTGGTGACACCGTAAGCGCTGGGTAATTCCAGCAGAAATGTAGGAGGAAGGGCTCAGCCACTAGAGTATGAAAGAGCCTAAAGCTTGTCCCCTGCAACCTTGCAAAGGAAGCCCCATCGGCTCTTCCAAAACAGCAGCCCCATAGTCACTGTCACCCATACAGAATCTAACTTCCTACCGGATGAAGACTGTGTCCTCTTAACCCTCCTCTCTATTCAGTTTCTTACCTCACCCCTGTCAGTGCTCAATAAATGTTAGTAAAAATGAAAACAAAAGTAAAAGTCTCTGGGAGATTGTCAGTTCTTAAAGCCATAAAATGCTGCAGCAATCTGTCCCGAAGAGGCATTCCCTCAGACCCGTGAAGGAGGGCCAGGGACCATTATGGTACTTACATCTGTAAATACAGGATTAGCAGACGAGAGGATGTTTTTGTTGAAATGTGACAAGTCACCCTGTGCCTTACCTTCCTCCATTCTGGAAATCAGGAAAGAACACAGACTTCCTAAGCAATTACAGAAACTAAGAAAACCACTTGATTGCGGGGAGAAAAATCAGTCAGCTTCCTAAATCGCTCTGAAATCCTGGCTCTATTAACAACAACAAAATCCATCTTCATTAACATCTTCAACTTTGTCCTCAGAGCTTCATCCCAGAGGAATACTGAATTACACTATAAAGTAATGAATGGAAACTTAAGTCACTTCCGCCCACCCGGCACTGCTTTTCCTCCTCTGGACTGCACAGTGCAGAAGGCTGCACCCTTCCAACTCACACAATGTCGGGGGGGAAACGCATTCCCAAGCCACTAACTAGACTGGTGAGGTCAGCATCATGCAGAACAAACTCTTCCCTCAGCCCAACCAACGGGTCATGGACTGATCCAGACAGTGAACACATTTCCAGATCATTTAAGCCCCATTTTGGCATTTTAGGCTATTAGGATATATACTTTACAGATGAAGAACAAACAAACAAAAAAACTAACCAAATGGACAGAGGTGATGTCTTTACACAAAGCTCCTTTTGCTGTCACAATCAAAACTGCTACTGCCAGTCCAAGGTTCCATCTCTCAAGCGGATGGGGCAGAGTGGGGGAAGCCCAGCCCTGACGTCCTGTATGCACTAGAGGAAGCAAACCAGGCAGCTTTTGTGATTTGATGTGAAGGGGATATGGTCAAGTATCCTGCAAGTGCCTGCCACTGGGGGTGGAGGAGCCACCACACAAGCCGGGGGAAAGCAAAGTCCGTTGACGCCAATATATCAGAGCCTGAGACACACACATGTGCAAAAACTATTGTAATAGAGGCCTGACTATGCCTGTATGCTTGGTAAATCCGAAGGAAA